AATCTTAATGTTAGGAAAGATTTAAAGGAAATTGACATAAGATAGAATCTTTGGTCAGATGATAACGGAAGATATCACCTTGTTTTGTTTCCACTAACTTGTGATACCAAAAAGTTGTTTCTCAAAACTTTGAAAAATGTTTTAGTACCTGATGGTTACTCAAGTAACATTTCTAGATGTGTTGAAGAGGTGCAACATAAAATATCAAGACTATAAAGTCACGATTACTTTATTATTATAAAGCAATTACTATCGTTGGTAATACATAATTTGTTACCAATCCATGTCATTACAACCTTGGTGGAGTGTTGCTCATTCTTTAAAGTCCTTTGTAGTAAAAACTTAAATATACCGTAACTTAAAATGTTTCAAAATCGCATCGTGGTTACACTTTGCCAGTTAAAAATGTTATCCCCACTATCATTCTTCACCATCCGAGAGACAAATAGAAAGAAAACAACCCCAATTTTCCAACTAAGAAAAGTCAAGCATAATACACACCTCACATTTTATTGCCACTGTTTCAACTAAATCTACTATTTCAACTAAATCTACTACTTCAACAAATACGACTTCATTTGAAATTTTAAATTTTAATAGTTTAATTTTTAATTTATTTTAGTCCATATAATTAGTTTTACTTAATTGAAATATTTAATTAGTAATTTGATCTTAATATTTTTCTTTTAACTCAATTAAGTTTTTGTATTTTTTTATAAGAACTCTATTTTTTTATAAGGAGATAATGTGATAACTTTTCGTTAACATTCCTTACAAATCTTAAAAAGAATATAAAAAACTTAATCGATTTTATATATTTATCTTCGACAATGTAATAGACAATAATAAGAATTTTAGGTATGTGATAATTTGAAGTAAACTATATGAGATTTGAAGGAACGATCTTAACGAAATTGTGTTACTAAAAAGGAAGGAATTAAAGAGAAAAAATAATGTTTAAACTCACATATAATCATCTCATAACCATGTCAACATTGATATCTGAAAAAAAAATCACATTATCTTTATTAAAACAATATAAGAACTTAATGTTATAATAAAAATAAAATTTTACATTATCAAAATCTAAAATGAAAAGTTTGATATTATTTTACTAACAAAATTTACCAACAATAAATATATTAATAATAGAATTATTAATTACTGATATATTAATTATAAATTCTAATTTACTCACAGTACAATAAATTTATTATCAATAAATTTACTTTTATTCACAAATTTGGTTCCATAAATAAAAATTTGTTGATAATTATAAACATTTTAAAATTAAAACTCAATCGAATAAAAATAAATTTAGAAACTAAAACAAAGAAAAAACTTAAATATAGAAAAACAAGCTACTAATTAATTCTTTAACAAATTTATACATGAGATTAGTTGATATAAACATGATAGGTATTTCGTAATTTATTTAAAACTCAGTTATTATTTACTTTTGTTATATTTTATATTTTAATATGTTTTCTAATGATTAACAAAACAGTGAAGACAACGATTAAATTAAGAATGTTTAATCTTATTGTGCAAATGAAACGACGAGAAATTCAAGAAATCATTCTTCCAAATGTTTGAAAAATATAACTATAACTAAACTCACTGGTACAAAAAGGAAAAGAAAAATTCAGATAGATTATCCTCTTCAGATTCAAAAGTCCAGAAATAAAGTATAGGAACAACAAACCCTGAGTTTCTAAGATTTCTGGAAATTTCTTTATTGAAGAAGAGAAACTCACTCTTTTAAGCAGCAGCCCACACAGACACTATCAAAAACATCTCATTCAATCGTTGTTTATCTCACAACAGAGACAACCTCAATCAACACCCGAAAAGGTAAAAAAGCAAAAAGTTGCCGCCACCATAACTCGGAAGAAAAAACAAAAGAAATACAATTTCTTTCTTTCTTTCTTTGTTACTTGCTTTCTTTGTTACTCTGGAGAATCACCGGTTTTGCTTTGTCCACCACATGCCCAGCACAAAAACCCTAACCCCAGATCACTCACCCTATCACAATCTCCCTTTATTAAACAAATCAAAATCCCAAACTCTCTCCTCTGTTTCTTCCCCTTTTCCCACTAACCCCACTCTCTCCACATTTCTCTCTCTACATTTCCAACAGTGCTATCTGTCGCCTTCAATTGCGACTTTCTACCACTAACCCAACTCTCATTTCTTTCTCTCTCATATAAAAATTAGGGCTTTTCCAAATGAATCAAATTGCTGGGACAAAGGACCCAGAGGCCGAGCCTGTCGCTCAGTCTCTGCCCCAACCCCAAGACACACCCAAGCCTCCCGACAAAACTGATTCCTCCGCCGTGGTCGTCGCTGCCACCACCACCACCGAAGAGCAAGAGGTTGGACCAGAGGAAAAACGACCGGTCCCCATGGAGGAGGATTCGCTCAACCCCGCCACCGTTTTCTCCATCAGGCTTAAGCAACCTAGGTCCAATTTGCTGCATAAGATGAGCGTTCCTGAACTGTGTCGCAATTTTAGGTCAGTGATTCGAAATTCAACTGGTTTTAGTTCGAATTAGTGTTTCGGTTGATTCTTTTATTTGGCTAGGGGATGCTGTGAATGGGAGGCTTATTTTTTTAGTGTGATAGTGATCTGTAAGCACTTGTGAGAAATGAAAAATAAGGAGGATGTGTTGACTGAACTTCTCCCACAATCAACTTTAAGAGAATTATATGAGTGGTTCTAAGGAAGTTAAGTGCGTAAGTTGATTTTAATTTCCGGGGAAATTTAATTTGCTCCACCTTCTTTTTCCTCCTGAGAGTGATCGTGGAAAAGTTTTCTTTTCAAACGTAGTGCATGATAGGGAGTTGGGGGTAAAAACACGGTTGCTGATGTAGCTCGTAGTCTCCTCTTCTGTTGATTTTTTCATGCATGTGCTGATGGATGGGCCGTGGGCGTATTATATCACAACATTCTTGTGCTAACATTTTTTCTTTTTTCTTGCTTGTTTTTCTGCAGTGCTGTTTCCTGGTGTGGAAAACTTAATGCTATAGCTTGTGCAGCAGAAACGTGTGCAAGAATTCCAAGGTTTCTTGATTTTTTTCCTCATATGAACATGTTTCGAAATCATTGGGTGTGTTCTATACATTAAATCAAGGACAGGACTTTCTGGTCATATGGATGACAGGAACACGAGCAGAACTGCTGAAGAATCAATAGAATTGATAAGATTGTGAGACTTGTTTTGGAGATTTATTTTATTGTTAAAGTCAACTAGACTTAGCGTGTGGGTAAATAGCTTAGTTAAAGTACTTATTGAATAAGTAGTTAGCATAAAAACACTTAGGTACAAGTTGTCTTAATAATCAAAGAGAAATTATGGTTAAACTGTTTTTATTGAAGTTGTAAATTTTTTTTGTAAGCTATTATGGAGCTTATTGAAATATGCTGAAAACAATGTTTAAGCATATCATAAGTTCTCTAAAACACTTAAACAAGTATTTCTATCTTACAACAAGTCTGAATAAGTTGTAATAAACACATTAGTTTAGCTGACAGACATCTCAAAACTTTCTGATCTACTTGTTTCTTTGTTGATTATGGATACCTAAATGTACTTAGCAGATATGTTGTGAATTTATCTTTTAACATTTTTAACAGTGTCTTTGAACATGTTTCTATAGTGGGCTTATATAATATCTTTCTCTGCTCATCTAGTTTCCTTATTTGTTGGCTGGCAAATTTGGCAATGAAAGACTGGAAAAATTCACAGTCAACATTTAGTGAAGACTCCTAATGCAATAAAAATACTAAATTTCTAAAATTGCATTATTGAAAAAAAAAATGAAAAAATAGGCTTCATAAACCATAGCTTCTAATAAGCATACAAAATTAGTAAAAGAAAAAAAGCCCTGAACAGACCATTTTGTTTAAATGACCTGAATTTTGAATGTACCCTGAAATGCATGTCTCATTCAAGTTCTTGGTTAGGTTCACTTAATTTTCCCATATCATTTATTAAAAGGTTTATCTATAGTTTTCCTAAGCTCAAACATAACTTTATTTTTACAAACTAGAACAGATGTTCTCTTGCCTGCTCATTCATGAATTTTTTGCTCATTTCATTGGTTTGCTGGCACTTGTGTGTTTGGTTTTATTGCTAATTTGTAGTGCTTATTAGTGTTTTTCTTTTTAATGTAGTTCAACGACTAATCCACCATTTTGGATCCCTATACATATTGTGATCCCAGAGAGGCCGACTGAATGTGCAGTGTTCAATGTCATAGCAGGTATTTTGATGTCATTGCTTCATTTGGTAACCTTGGATCCTTCAGCTTTGCCACATGATGTATCTAATGCCAAAGCAGCCTGAGCAACTGTGAAGTCTTAGACTGGTGAATTTTTGAAGTTCTTGTGCGTTCCTAGCATATAGCTTATACTATACAAGGCTATCCAGCACTATTATTTGGCGTCAACTAATAGTAACACAATTTTTATTTATTTTATACAGTTTGAGTTAAGATCGTCACGTTTACCTCTCGTAATTTTTAGTTATTGTAGCACTTTAATAAGTGAAATTAAACCAGTAACGGGAGATCCTTGATCTGGATAATCTTTTCAAAATCACTTTTTTTGACATTTAATCACTCTTTTTTAATTTTCTCGCCGTTGTAATAGTTATTAATGGTTAGTCTATGAAATTGTCTCTCTTGGACATGATTTCAAAGGGGTAATTTAGGATAGACCTTGATATCATTGTAGGACTATAATGTAACATACTGTTAGGTTCCTCAGTAGGAAACCTAATTAACCACAATCACAATAGGCAAAAAAGATAATGAAAGAATGAATTTCTCTTATTGATGGTAATAGAATTTTGTAAACAAAGGATATTTGGGAGCATAACCTCTCTCACAAAACAAGGATAGTTGGGAGCATAACCTCCCTCACAG